CCCCCCCCCATCCATTGTTCATTCACACATTATTATTATTATCCATGTGTGTCACCGTAACCCAATTGCTCAGCCAAAACCAGAATTGCATCATCTTACGTCAAAAAGACTCACCTTTCCTCTTGAGTACCCAATGACCATGTATTAAGTAATTGGAACCTAATTGCACTTTGAGCCGAATTATCTCAGTTCCTGTAATAAGAGATATCAAAAAGTTGTCAACTGATAAAATGTTTATCACATTATCAGTAACATTTTATTTGTTGACATATTTTTGATATCTTTCATGAGAGCCGAGATAATTGAGCTCAAAGTTGCAAGTGGCACTCCATTTGAGCGAAATCAGCATTTCTTTCGAGAATCCCCCATAACTTGGTCAATTTTGGTTCGAATTTTGTGGTTTTTGTATTAACTTGTTGGAAATTTTACTGACTACAATTCAAAATTAATTGTATTTCTAAAAAACTAAACCGACTCTAGTAAACGCGCTCTAACAAGACTGAAAATTCAAAAAACAACTGCCTGTTTGAAGTGTCATGAATCAGACAATTTTCATCCGATTTTTATTATTTTAACACCAAAATGTAGGGAAATTTACGAGCTATACATTTGTAGCAAACAATTCTTGAAAATGCCAGATTTGGTAGTAGCAAACGCGCTCTAAAGATAAACTTTCCTATCCCCCTCCTTTAAGAACTTTGCATCCACTTTATATAATCCCAACCACCTTTCCAATCTCCTGTTGTGCACACAGGGGTACCTAAGACTGGGATTACTTAATCCTTTTCCTTTGATGATAGAAAACTTTCTACGTAGACGACTACTGTAGGCGGCTACTTTTCTTTGAAGGTTAATAATACCAAAATTGGCACAGGTGCCATTTATCGTCAACTTTGACTTTGAACTATTTCAAGTCTCTTAATATAGCTGTTTTTTTTTAAATCCAAAACTTTCAACTTTTAAAATCAAAATTTCAACCTGCCATCCCTCTGCCCCCCGCTTCGTTCAGTCGCCTCTTCCACCCCCTTTCTATGTATTTGCATTTCGTATTCTCTCTCCTTCAGTGTTCACATTGGCGCAATGGCTTAGGCTTTTGCCCGCCACCCACACCTCCAGAGTTCGAACCACACCCCCTTGAAATCTCTTTTTTTAAACCTTTTTTTATTATTATTTTTTAGTTTTTGGTGATCTCCACTATTATAACTACACTATTATACATTTACTTTTAGAAACCTAGCCCAAAATTTCAAATTCACATTTTTGAATAATACTTGAGATCTAGCTTTTGATGACTATAGTGCTTTTAATAAATATATAAACAGAATGGAGCCCTCATTGTTTTGGTCCCCCTAGCATAATATATAATACCCCCCAGAATAACCAAAAGAGTCATAAGACGAACTCATTAGCCCGCAAACCGGAACATTTTTGGCGAAACGTATACTCCGATAGTTTAGTTTCCGGTCTGCCGATTTATGGCTGCGATTGAAGGAAAAGAAAAAGAAGAAAATAGAGATGAGAAAATTGGAATTTCGGGGCTTGCCGGAAACTGATTCAGATAAATTGGTCTAGCAAGGAAAGCCCAATGTAGTCTGAAACTGACAGCATTTCTACGAGACCAATTATCTCGGTTCCTGTAAGAGATATCAAAAAAGGTCAACTGATAAAATGTTTATCACATTGTCAGTAACATTTTATCAGTTGAAAAATTTTTGATTTCTTTCATGAGAGCCGAGATAATTGAGCTCAGAGTGTGTACGTATCCAAGCCATCAGTCTTGCGACGTCGTAGCTGAACCAAAACAAACTACAAAATTGATTCCATGAAATTTTTGTACATTTTTGTACTAGTCATAAGTCTATAGGTCTTTGAAAGTAGATGTTAAGAACTATACGATTTCCATGAAGCATAACATTTGCAGTTGGACAAAAACTTGTGGTTTTGAAATCAGTTTTCACTAGATGCCTATCCTAGACTCTTCTTCTTCTTCCTGCTTGTCAAGTATCATATGTTCTATTACTGCGTTCCCCCCATCTCATGTGCTCTCGTTTTTTTTTTCTTGGTTTTTTTTTTGACGAGCCAGGAGCCATAGAGGCTGTCGCTCTCTCGTTGAGCAGCACGAAAAACACAAACCGATTGAGATCGGCGATAAGGAAGAGAGAGAGAGAGAGAGAGAGAGAGAGAGAGAGAGAGAGAGAGAGAAACGCAGAGATACCTGATCACTTTTTGATCTATTGGATCTAGTTCCGGAGTTCCACACTGGGATACTGTACTCCTGAAAAACAAGATCCCCAACTTTGAGCTCTTTTAACTCAGTGAGTTCTTATTCGATTTTTACGATTTCTATACTAAAAGATAGGCAATTTTATGGTTAATAACTGCATTTAATTTTTTTTAAAACAGATTTTGTTGAAATCACTTCAAAATAAGCTCAAACCTTTGCATGCTACCTTTTCTGGCACCAATATTGACCAAATTTGGAAAACTCAGAACTCAATCAGTTTTAGCTCGATTTTTGTGATTTTACTACCAAATTGTAGGAAAAATTGTATTCCATATTTTTTGAATTTTACTGTCAAAGAAAATTAAGACTGAGGATTGTAAACGCGCTCTAACGATAGTGATACAAAAAACTCAAATTATCCTGTTAGGCGCTTTTTTAGAAGTTGTAATTGTTAGTTTTGGTTCGATATTTGTGATTTTACTACCATATTATTGGAAATTTTATAAGCAATTTTAATACAATCAATTATTTTTTTTTTGAAAAACTAAAACTAAGTGCAGTAAATGCGCTCTAAACACAATGAGACTAAACATTTGAATTATCGTTTTCTGTGCTTTTCAAGAGTCGTAAGTTTATTAGTTTAGGTTTGATTTTTTTGGTTTTTCTATAGATGTGTAGAAATGTATGTTTTTGAAAATGAAATAAAGTAAATGCGCTCCAAGAAGAATGGAATTCGAATATCATCGGTAGAGCATATGCTCTTACAGAAGCCCATTCTATGTGTTCACTTTGAGGCCAATCATCTCGGTTCCTTCAAAAGGTATCAAAATTTTGTCAATTGGTAAAATGTTACTGATGAAATGAGAAATATCTTATCAGTTAACAACTTTTTGATATCTAACATGGGAACCGAGATAATTGAGCTCAAAGCGTGCAACAAAACCGGCCTACCTTAAAATTACAGTCCATTCGAATACTACTGTAAACGAGAATTCTTGACTATGTCCCTTTAAAAATAGTGTCTTAAAGATCAAAACCCAAAAAATAACCCATATTTTTTTGCTCTATGATGTCTGTTTATCTGATGTCTGGTCCAAATCATGAGCAATACCTCCTGTGTCCAAATACTTTTGAATTTTATGGTAATACCACCAAACATTTTGGGGTATGGTGGTCACGAGGCTTCTCTCTCTCTCTCTCTCTCACCAAACAATAGCGGGGTGGTTGTTCATAATGGCTGTTCTTCTTCTTCTTCTTCTTTCCCTTTCTCTTCCAAACAAACCAGACCCCTCTCCGCCTGTTTCTCTAAACCTCGCACTCTCTAACGCCTTCCTCGAAAAGAGTGTAGGTCATGAGGCCTCCTCGCGTCCACATGACTTCTGCGTCTCCCACTCTCGCTTTCCTAGGCTCCGCCCACTATTCTCGTTCTGTGAGTCCTAGTGCTGCTGCTTCCATTTCACTTTTCCTTGGTTGCTTTCCCCCCCCCCCCCCCCCATTTTTGGACTCTTTCTCTAATATAGAATTTCCCAGAAACCCCCTACCGAACCCAATCCCAAAATGTTCCGCGCTATCTTTGACGCCTTCAACTTCTCATCTGAAGCATCTGAAGATGATGTACCATTCGCCACACCTAAAGAAGACTGTGATGAGGATGGATGGGTTGTCAACGTTCAGCTTCCAGAAGATTCTGGAGAAGAGTCATTCGCCATGGTTGAGAATCCGGAGATCATGGAGATGGGCGACGATGAGGAGTCGGTGATTTGTTCGGAGGTTGTGACGACGGTGGTGCCGGAACTAGAGGCCATCAAAAGACGAGAGGCCTATAATCAGGCTAGGGCAAAGACGGCATTCCGGAATCATTTGGAATCGGTGGTACGTTTCAAGTTTTAAGGGTGTTCAGCGGGTCCAATGGCGCTAGCTCGCGTGCCTAATTCAAACCCCTGTAACTCCCTTTAATTTAGCTATATCTATCTGAAATTCCCCCAGTATACTGAAAAACTCATGTGCTTTATTTTTTTAGTTAACAACTTTTTTGTAAAACTTTCCCCAACAAAGATACACTCCCTCTAAAATGGGTCAAGTCATTTTGGTGCCAATCTCGAGTGCCAACTTTGGATTTTTGTAACTTGCTTTAAATGAAGGTTATTTAATTGAAACTTTCACATAATACTGAACAAATTATGCGCTTTGTTTTTGTAATAAAAAACTTTTCTGTATAACTTACGCGACGATAGATATGACTTGTTGAAAATGGGTCACTTTTTTTTTATTAACTTTGCTCACTTGAAAAAATTTCAAATTCCTGAATATAGCCCAGAAGCCAATCCAAACCAAACCTAAGCCAAAACTTTTATTAGAATCTAACTAGAATACAAGACCTAAATCTAGTTTTCTTTAGCACCATCGATTCTGGTTTATTGGTCTCCTAGGTCTCTAGATCTTAGTGACAATCTATATGACGTCATCGGTGAAAATAAGAAAAAAAAGGGCAAGGGGGCTAATCCTTTTCACCTTATCTATCTATATTTTGGACTCTTAACGGCTTTCAATTTTTCTTTTTTAAAATTCCAAACTTTTTTATGTTTTAGTTGGAAATTTCAACCTGCCATCCCCCGCTTCGTTCAGTCGCCGCTGGCCACCCCCTTTCTATAGGCATTGCACACTTACTCTTCTAGCGTCCTCTGTGGCGCAATGGCTTGCGCTTTTGCCCGCCACCCACGGCTCCTGGACGTTTCAGAACCCGACGTTTCGGAACCACGACGTTTCAGAACCCGACGTTTCAGAACTTTTCTGCATTTTTGTATAGTGGTTCTTGCGCACCAGATGAGCATTGCTCATTTCAATTTTGTGTTTTTCTGCTTTTTTTGTTCATTCTCATCTACTGTACTCCAAATAATGATAGGTTCACACTGGGTATCTCTCAAAAAATCGAAAAAATTGAACTTTTCAAGAAGGAACCTAGAAGTACGCAGTAATTTTTCCACCGAATAGAAGTCTCATTTTGAATGGTTTTATTAATGACATCGTTTTCTAAAAATTCAACTTTTTCGATTTTTTGAAAGATTCCCAGGGTGAACCTATCATTATTTGGAGTACGGCAGATGAGAATGAACCAAAAAGCAAAAAAAAAACACAATATTGAAATGAGCAATGCTCATCTGGTGCGCAAAAAC